GGAGAGGAAAAACTCCCTTTTAACAGGAAGAAACCTCTGACAGAACCAAACTCAGTGAGGGGCAGCCATCTGTCGCGACTGGTTGGGTTAGTTTACCTGTAAGATAAACCATTTTTAACTGTTGTTTGTGTGATAAGAGCCTAAATAACATCATTACAGCCTAATTAAGATTGAGCCAATTTGGGGGGTTTACAGCAAGTTTGGTTTGTTGGATTTCTCCAGGGAGTCTCTTACAAAAACATGTAAGCGACTCCCCGGCGCTTCTTTTGATCTTTGATACAAGCCACTTCCACAAGTCTTCCTTTGATATGGTACCAAACAAGCAAATTTAAGCTTTTCGCTTGGTGATATTGAGGCTTAATGCATCTAAAAATCAGATTCTTGTCTTTGAAAATCCAGCATCCAACACTTTCATAGTTTGCCCTTTTGTTACAGGCCAGGGAAATTAAAATTTCAGATTTTTCATTTTTCGCCTGTTCATTTTTTAAGTTAGTAAGTACAAGTTTTACTAAAGTGTTAAGTATTGCATGGAAAATTGCAATTGGTGTGAATGTGATTACAATAAAAAGTGGAATTACTATCTTGCTTCCACGAAAGGTAACAGCAACTTTTGTTGTCACCAGTTGTTTTGCAGCCATTCTGATTCTGGAAATCAGAGCTGCAATTCTTTCCCAAAACCGAGAAAAAGAGCGTCTAATTGTTGCCAGGAGCATGTTAAACATCGCCACAACTGCCCTGCATGAATTATTGATTATTGTCCTGGTGATGTAAATTATTGCATGAGCCACAGACAGAGCAGCAGCTCTTGGTAGGGAAGAGAAATATGAGAGTTTTGTGCAAACTCCAGATAAAATAGATTTTCCTGATTCTGTGTGAGTATTTTCTGTTTTGTTTCCCTGATTTTCACTGACTAACTCCAACCCTTTGGTTGTAGAATGAGTCAGTGACCTAAGTTTTATGTAGCTGAAGAGTGTGGGGTCAAACTCACCATTAGTTGGACAGTAGTCTGGTGGAGCTACGTCACATGGCACATCTTTTGTTTGGTGGGCAGTGGATGAATCAGGATGATCAAATCTAAGACTTGATCTGATGACATTTGCAGCACTTCTAGCAGCCCATGAAATCGCAGACAAAAGCAGGAGGGGCATGTCTGCTTATAGTCAGTTCTGTAGAAGAGAAAGAAAATTTGTAATACAAACGTTGTGCCGAGTTTTACGAAACGTAGCAGTAAAGCATAAAATACCTGTTTTATGGAGGATCCAAGTGCTGTGAAATGAGTCCAAACCTCTATATAAGAATAAAGAAAGATGAAAGGATTCCAGACATCAAAGCCATCTGAATGACATCATGTGTGATAAACTCAAATGACATCATGAAGGAGCATGTCATTAGAGCATAGAACAGTGGTAACATTCTGGTTACCACGGCAACATTAGCATTTCTTTTCCTTCACATTAAAGCTGCTTAGTTTCTCAATTACTGCTTCCCATGAAAAACTGAAATGATTCTTATTGTCTTTGCAAAGCACAACACAATAAATGATTAAAAATCATAAAATTTGTAGTAGAATGTATTTATCCATCATGAGTAATTATGTTCTTAGAAAAATAAAAGCACTGTAGATGTATGCACATATTAAACTTGAACTAATACAGTGTAAAACATAGAGGACTTTATTCCATGGAATAGAACTCACATCATAATTTGATTAATTTATTTATTAAACTTGTTTTTGACAAATTAACACTATCACTACCAAACTCATTAAGACAACTGAGTAAAAGATAAATTATTGAAAATATTTTACTGTAACTTTTTATTTTGTTTTGGTTTTGGACTGTTTATTTGAATTCAGTTTCAGATTATTTATATAGCTCCTAATCAAATAACCACCTCATGCCTCTCTGTACTGTCAGGTAAAGACCCTAGAGCAGTCTTTCTCAAATAGTGGGGCCGATGTCAGGGGGGAATGGGAAGATGCTTTTATCGCCATACTAGAATAAACTGTAATTGCATATCCACTACAGTAGGTGGCAGGGTTTATTTTTGCACCAAGCATGTGCACACACACAGCACAGAGCAGGAGAAATGAAAGTGCAGTAAATAGTGATGTGCCATACCACTGATTTCCTTTCTGATCCAATACCAAGCAAAATTCAGGGTGGTGTTGCCGATACTGATCCGATACCGATACTTTGTACAAAAACATAACGTGTTATTGTATTTTAAATTATATCGTCATAATAATTACAGGACATCAGACTACTTGTTCCTATTGTTGAATTATCATATAGAAATTAAAAACTGAAGTTTTTTTGTTAGTTGATGCTATTTGAACATGTATATCTTGTCATTTAACATGTATATACTTGCCTGGACATTTCAACAAGAAAATTCAACATTCACAATTTCCCTCATTCACAGCACTGCTGTGGCACACTACAAATGTTGGTATCAATCTAATACAAAGTAAACACAGGGCCAGTATTGCAGAAGTTATTCGGGCAGCTAATTGGAGGAAAGTAGTGTGCCATGACTTATGAGATGAATTCCCAATTTGCAAATTTTGAACACAATTTAAACACAACTATATGACTGTGATTGTTAATTTCCACAACAATTAGTTAACACAACAAAACACACCTTTCACCTTTTCATGTGTTTTGAAACTGGGTTTTTGGAGACCTGGAATGTACATTTTTCTGGTCTCTAAAGCACACATAAAGGTTCGAACATTTTTCATAGTGCAAGTTTGAGGTTTATTTTTTACAAAGAAATAATTAACACAGTTCAGTGAGCTGCATACTGAACTGGATCGATTCAATTGTGCTAGTATCAATCAAATACCAATAGCAGAGTTGGTATTGATACTATTTGGATCGATCCGCCCACCTCTAGCAGTAAACCCTCAAGATAAATGGAAAAATATTTAACAGTAACAAAAAGAAAGGCGGAGACAGACAGAGATAATGAGACAAACCAAAGTCTCCCGAAAGCTAAGACAAGGAAATATAACCAGTGTATGTAGCTTGGCTTCACTGTGACTACATGCACTTTAAATCTTTTCTGTTACAGACTAAAAAACAATATTCGTAAAGTTATTCTTTGCTTTAAGTTGATTTATATTTCTTTTTTGTTTTCTTTAATGTTAATAAGGCTACAATGTTATGCAGCGATGTAATTATAGTAACAAATTTGTAGACAAATGATACTATTTATAATTGCCAGGGAGAGTGGCAATTATAACATGAACAACCAGTAGATGACGGTGGGGAGGAGAAACTGATTTGTGAATGAAAAGCACATCAGAGCCTTTGCAGATCCAAAAAAGAGAACTTTGCCCAAAGTATAGATAAAATAGATCCTGATCCTGTGTGAGGATGTTGTTCCCCTGAGTTTCACCGAGGAACTCTAAGCTTTTGGTTGTAGTATGAATCAGTTTCCTAAGTTTTGCAAACATGACGGCTGTGGAGTCAAACTAGGCTGTAGTTGGACAAGAGAGCTACGACACATGGCAAGTACTAAAATTATGCTTCTTAATGTCTTCAGATGTCTTTATGGTTCTTTAAAGAAACATCATACGTCAAAAAACCGTTTTATTTTTTGGATGGCTCTTCAGCTATTACAAATGGTTCTTTAAAGAACAAAAGGTTCTTCATCCCTAGCCATCTAAGTTTGATGGTGTAAAAGGGCAGAAATATTTATTCACTAATGGGGGTGTGAATTATACTGTGGGAAATCCTGGTCTTGTTAGGAGAGATGGCATCCATCCCACTCTGGATGGAGCAGCTAGAAATATGGACAAATTTATTAAACCCCCAATTCCCAATTCAGGGTCTGCAGCCTTAAAGGCTGCATTTTAAGGCCGATTACGTCAAAACTATGCGACGAAGGCTGTCCTAATTCAAAGGCTGCTCAAAACACAACAAGCTGAAAGTCAGTGATGCTGCTCGGTTTGCAGTCCTGAATATCACGGCACAAGCAGGATTCACTGCACTGTTAATGTTAGCTATGTTATATTGCTGCCTCTGTTCGGTGGTGTCGAGCCAAACGTGTGTTTGAACGAGCTGACGGTTCACTCGTTAAGCTGAAAGAAAGATGCTTTAATCACAGGAGTCACACATGTGTCCACTGTACCATCTGGGAACTCTTCTTGTTTAGCACTCGTAATAACACAAACACTAAATCCTCCTTCTCTTGTGCTGTTTTGCAGCAGTGTACACCTGAGGCTGTCACCTGTCCGTCTGTCCTGCACTGTCTCTCTTTTTCTTTCTCTCTGATTGTGGAATAAAAGTATGAACATGTATTTATAAGTTATTGTCACGGTTCTGGGTCAGTTTTGACCCAGTAGTTTAAGTTCTCATGTTTTTGTGTAATTTTGCATTATGGATTCTTTTCTCATTCTCTTGTGGTGCTTTGTTGGTTGTTATTATTATTATTATTAATCTATGTTTCAGTTATTCTTGTTAAGAGATCAGTTCTTAGGTTTGTGTCTCATGTTCAGTGTAGGTTTAGTTCTGTGTCTAGTCTGCGTTTTTGTGGAGTGGTTTCTTGTTTCCTGTTTTATTGTGAAAGTCCGTATCTTATGTGAGTGTATTCAGATATGCCTCCCTTGTCTCGTCTCGTCAATTACATTCAGCTGTGTTCCCCACCTGTATGTAATCTCCCTGTGTTCTTCTGTGTGTATTTAAGTCATGTCTTCTTATGTTGTAGTCGCTGGTCTGTCTGTGAATCTGCTGTGTATCGTCCCTGCTATCAACCATCATCTACCCCTGTCTACTTTCCTTCATGTTCTGGTTTGCAGTTTTGTAGTTTAGTTTTTTCCCAGTATAGTTTAGTGTTTGTTCCGTTCTGTCATTGTTCATCCCGTGCTTTATATTTTCAATAAACCACCTTCACATATCGGCGAGTGTCTGCATTTGGATCCTCCTTTATTTTTCCCCACACGGCTCATCCCACTCGCCGTGACAGTTACACTTGTGTTTGAATCCTGCAGCTTATCA